ACAAACATGGTGACAAAAAGTAAATACATCTTACGTGCTTGCTGATAATAAACATTAAACAGTACAGTTTACACGATTCAGGTTGTTTATCTTTGAGGAGTAGACAGACGGTTTGAAATCCATATGGCTGGGACAACAGGAATATGTCATATCAAGTATTTATATAAATACCTGCCTATTGATAGTGACGAGTATAAGACATATAAAATCAAGAAATATAAAATAAAAGTGGATAACTACTTTCCCCAACTACAGTTACTTATTTTTGTTCATGAAGTATAGGTGTTGTGGACTTCGTAGTATATTGCTGGCCACTTAAAAGCTACTTTATTACCTTTAAAAAGTATTGTACAAATTTGATTTGTTAATTTTGTAACATAAGAAAATATATGATTTTATTTTACTCTTTTTTTTGCATCGATTTGTTTTATAGAGTAGATGCAATAGCTTTCTGCACATAAAGAACCGACATACAAACAATACACTAATACAATGTTAAATAATTACAAACATGTTAAAAAATACGCTGATGTTTAGACAGAATTTCTCTTGGTTTTGGATTTTTCCTTTGTTTTTTCTTTGTTCTTCCACTTATTTAAGAAAATTGAGTCAATTGATGAGGACAACTTACTACAATCCACGGTAATAATTATGTTATCTGTGGTAATACCTTGTGGCGAGGAAACAAACCACACCCAACCCACCTGTCAGACAAAACGTAATTAAAAACCCCTAAAAATTCACATTTTTATATTACTTAAATAAATGTTTTAATCCAAATTACATCCAGACAAAGCTTTAATAATAAATCAGTCAGATCTGTCAGAGTTGCTCACGAAGATCATATCTTATAAACTTCTGCTAAATCATTTTCAAGCAATCAAATATAAGTAGGTATAAACCTACACGTGTACAACCTACAGGTATATAAGACAAAGTAAATAACAAAGCGTATTTCAATAGAGATTTCCCTCAGATTGCCTTATGAATATTTAAGTAATACACTGAAATAATTATAAACAAAATGCTTGTTAATTTCTAAAGGTACTGTACATACGAGTAAATATATTTTGATACAAGCTGTTATCCGCGACTTAGTTCGCGTGAAATTTAAATATTTCATTTCTGTAAAATAAATACCATTTCTAAAATAAAAGTAGCCTACGTTACTATAAGCTGTCTGCGAGTTAAAGGCCCGTCAAAATCAGTCAAGCCGTGTCAGCATCAAATTAGCAGGAACACATATTTTTTTTCAATTACATATATTTTTATGTATGTAGCGTATATACTTTCATATACCATTAGCGAAAAGCTATTTTCTGACGTGAACCCTCAATGAGAATGTTTTTGTTGGTGGTTAAAAGCTTTATCTACAAAAGGTTAGGAACAGACAGACGACAAGGAACTTGGTAGGAGGAAATTATTATGAGGGAAGTGGAATTAAAAACACTGCAGTTATAGAGGTGTTGGTAGAAACAGTACTTGCCCTGGAGACCGGGGTGTCTTCATTTAAAGACTGAACAGATCAGAATGGTATAATCCAGTGATACAATATTAATAAGTTCTTAAATAATATACCAGTTAGATAATCTTCCAGGATGTCTGTAAGAAATTGCTTATAGCGATAAGACCGCGTTTTATTATTTATTTTCTATTTACGGTTTAAAATGTATTTACATCTAAACATAGTACAGTATACACTAAGTTTTTTTAAAGGTGCGCTACGCTACTATTGCTAAAGGTTTAAGCTAGCGAAACACTAATGGATGATGATAGGATGAGCATGAGGTCAGGGCAGTCAGCCCATCGTGACAAATTAAACAGGAATTTCTCACGATGGTTTCCAGGGGAAACCATTGTTACAATCCTTTTTTTCCCCAGGATAGACTAAATAATAATACCAGAAGTCAGCAGGTATGTTCATTATTTATATTTGGAATGGTGCCAATGTTCTTTACTTAGCGTGGACCTAAAAATGTTTAAATGTTAACCGCTACCTTTTCAGGTAGCCAATTCTGTTTAGTCTAGATAAAACAGTCGAAAGCGCGGTATTGTTTAAATGCCGAGAAAGGTCCGCGGACAGGCAGTAACTTATCCATGCCCGTGCCAACTCCATTGCGGCCAACTCTTATGCAAACAAGACTGTATATGCCTGTTCATAAATAATATATTTATTTCTCTTTTTACCCGCAACAGAACGTTTGGAACGTGATGTTTGTTTTATTTACAGTCACTAATAAGTGTTCATGAGTAAGCATTCCTAAAATGGGTATACACTCATGTACCTACTAATATTATAAATGCGACATATATCTGTTTGTTTGTTCCATTTTTATGTTTGATATGAATATAATATTAATAAGTCTTATTAATATTATAAACGCTAAAGTTAGTGAGTATGAATTGTTAGATGTATGGAAAGAATTTTGTTACTCTTTAACGCACAAACTACTTAACGCATTCTGATGAAATTTACAGTAGTATATGTAGACCATGCAATTTATATCCCATGTGTTATTCTTATACATCAGAATAACACATGGGCTATAAATAACATGGGGGTGAAACTGCAGGCACAGCTAGTAAATTATATTTGAACTCATCAAAAGTAAACATAGTTCCGGGTAACATGTAATATACTACTAATATATACCTAGTTCTCTTCATATATTATAAATATAGTATTGTTTATGCATAAGTATAAATTCTGAAGATTCTTTACAAGCTTATTATCTTGTCTTCAAGAATTCTGAAATGTCACATAAATTTTAGTTCAATCATAGACTAATAAGTCTTATATTATTGTATTCCTTGATGTTTAATTATAAACATCTAAATATGCTCGATTTAAAACTATCCAGTTGTCACGTCAAATAAAAAAAGTTATATTCAGTTATACTTGGCTACACACAACTGTGCAGATTAACTAATTAGCTGAGTTGTTAGGAATGCAGAAAGGAAACTGCTTAGTTTCCTGCACTTATATCCGACTATGGTTAATTGATAATGGCAGCACCCTGCATATGTTGCTGTTGCAGACCCATTTTCTGCTCCATTACCGTATTTCCGGCGAATGGTAGCGATAACATCGGCAAACCTTAAATGAAATGGGTTGACATAAAACGAACAATTATATATACCTATTAAAACCATTTATACACATTTCTCAGATTTAATGAATTAATATAGAATTAAATTTCGACTTATTAAATCCATCATAGCCACGTACACCTAATGAAATATATATATTGTTCATGTTTTGCGAAGATTCGGAAACTATATAATAATTAGTCTTTCTATGGTTACAATAAATAGAAGTAGAGGGAAAGATACATATATGTTTTGATGTTTTTACATTGCATATTAAAACCAGTCAATCAATCAAAGTATCTTTATTCAAGTAGATCTATTAGAGACTCTTATGATATGTCAAATCTACCGTCAGTTTGAAATGCTTTCGAGATGAGAAGAACTGACAAGAAACTCAGGTCGTGTTCTTTTCAATATATAATACAGATTCATTTTTAAATTCAAATTTGGGAGAAAAGTAACTCTATTCTCCCAAATTTTCTGCGATGGTATTTTAGTCTCACATATATATTTCAGTCCTCAAGCAGCTAGCTTTGTAGGCTGTGTGGAAACATAAGAATGAGCGAGAAACATTACATAGAATATGGAGACATTATTATGTTTTATCGGCATTTCATTATAATTATTATTGCCTACATGAAACGGTTACAGAATTCTAAAACAGAAAATAAAAATAAAATGGAGAACGTGTAATCAAAACGTGGTGAGGAGAGGCCAAATCAAGAGTACCCACAACCGACGAGCATTGCATGCATAACGAATATATGAATATGGAGGAAACAAGGGAAATGTGTCAGCACGGATACCGATTTTTTGCCGGTATTTTTTTTAGTCTCAGCAGTTTTTGATTAGTTATATAAGCTTAGATAATCATTTTTTCGCTTTTTTTATACCACATCTTCTGACATTGCATTCGTATAATTTGGAGAACTATACCAGTACACATTTATTATATCCACCCAAATCTATCTTATAATTTAAGTTAAACACATTGTTCCGAATATTTAACAATATCACATGTTGATATTTGAATATCCAAAGTAAGAGGAAGTAATGATTTACAGTTAAAGTTTTTATACTTATATATTCCTGGTTTTTTTTAATATTTTTCTGATACTTTTTCCCATCCATTGTCGCACGTCCAGTCCATTCTTGTGCTCGATTTTAAGAAAATTCTCGTACAGAAAATGATTAAGTATTACAACATTGTAATTACTTTGAATATAATAATAATTATTTCATAGAGCTGCACATACACATACACTGCTGCGGAGGGTCATGTAAGTACTTTCTGCGGCAAATACATTGTATTCAATTGAATAAGACTTTCGGATGAAATCGAAACAATTGCCATGGACAAACATAGTTATTGAACTAAATTCACGTACACCTAATTATAAAAATATCGAAGTCACTATGATCTTCAGCGTGACCTTAAGTTATTCATGAGATAATATTCTAACAACCATTATAAAATACATTACCATTACCATAAACAAGTATATAATGATTCAAGAATATGTTGCTTATGGTATCCTATCGTGTTTATTGAAGTTAAAGCAGATTTAGTGCTTCATGTACCTTCCTACACTTCCGAGTATAACCCTTTTACACAATGTTAATTAATTAGATTATACTCCCACTCAAGTCAGATAAAATTGTTTAAGTATGTATCGTATTTTGGGCATTATACTCGTATTACACGGTTAACTAACAACAAACTAACTGACAACAGTACCAGTCAGTCATTCATTAATTACTGCTGTTTCTTCTGATTTCAGTAATAAACAGCAGCATTATTATATTCTTCTAATATATAAAATTCTCGTGTCACAGTGTTAGTTGCCATATTTTTCAAAACGATTTTGATGCATACTCTAATAAATATTATTATAACGTGGGGTACTAACCTGGTAACAGATAAGGGCCATCCGCCCATCATGTGACCATGAGAAGTGCGTGACTGGCGTGCTTCTGTCGTTGATCAATTCGATGCTCCATCTGCCCTCGTACTTGATCCACACGAAAATAACCCCAGAACTGTCACAAGATGCCAACTTTTGGTACGGCTCGTTCCATTTCACCAAAATAACCTATAAAGAAATATAGTCTTAAGTACTTATTATGTAAAATATATTCAGACATGAGACATTCTGAAGATAGATAACACGTATTCTCATTATTCCCGAAAGGAATAGAACGACGGGTTAAAAATTTGTGAAGAGAATTTTAAACGAAAGTTCAAGATATGCTATGATTAGTGTCTTTCACCTGGGTGCTGCACCAGCTATATAATATAACACTTTAGTTAGAATTGTATATATAAGTAAAAGTAATTTAAGTTTATGGATTGGCCCTTCCATATTTCATAATCATTATCATAACAACCCATTGACCCGTAACTTTAATACACGAACCCATAAAAGCCTCCTTATACCTTAAACCTTATAAATTAGCCCATTATAAGACATATACGAATCTGAAACATATTCATAAAAGTACCTATCTTAATCATGTAGGTATATTACAGACAATTACGTAAATAAGTCGAATCAATCTACCGTCAGTTCGAATCGCGAAAAACTAACAAGAAAGTCTGCTCTTACTATTTCCAATTGTATTACTTTATTTATTATATGCATAATTCGAACGCACCCACTTAATTTATCGAAATAGGGGAGGGTATACTAATAATATAACAAGACATCTGTTTGGAACTAAGGGATGGTTAGTAGACATTCCGTGACCTCGTCCCCATTGTTAAGTGTCCCCCGGGCCCGAGAAAGGCTTCATATATGAACCATTTATTTAAGACAAAAGGTTCATAATAGGCGTTATAACGCAAATTTCAATACAAATCAACACTGAAACATACTGATATAATATAAAAAAGGTTGCTTTAAAAATTTATAATAATAACCCAGAACAATTCGCACAGCGCCTTCTAGTCCAATAATAAGCCATTTTTACATTGATTACATTAATTTAATGCTTACATACAATTTTGTAAGTACACAATGTGTACTAAATACCTATAAACCTAAATATAGAAAACATCATATCACTACAAATGTTTGTTTGTATGTTACGAGAATCCAAACCAGACTTTTGGAAGTAAAGTAAAGAGGCAAGAAGAAAAACATTTTTACTATTTCAGTAACAAATAAGTTGCAAGAACGACTAGAACACGCCTCAATAGTTGTTAAAATAAAATGCAAAAGTTCTGTCTGAGTGATTAATCATACATAGTTGAACTGACACTGCTGGAGTTATAAATATTAAAAGAAATTTTGAAAGTCAATCCATTGTATACACAAGATAAAATATATTCACATATTTTAATTTTGTAATTTGTAGATATTGTTAATAATATTCTTATTGAGTTATTGTGCCTTGGTGGTTATCATAATTTATTATTAATTTCGTTCATGTTTAAAATTCATATACAGATACTCGTATAACAATCATAATCTACTTGTACCACAGATAACATAATCTTATTATAAACGCGAATCTCACGCGTTTGTGAGTATGGATGGATGTTTGTGACTATTACACACAAAAACTACTGAACGGATTTTGATGAAACTTTACATTAATATAGCTTATACATCAGAATAACACATAGGCTATAATTTAAAAGATATTATGTAAATTGGGCGTAACTAGTTTGGGTCAGCTAGTATTACATACATGTACTTAATTTACTAAGATAAAAATCATTATTTACTCATGTCAATAATATTAAAGTAATTTAAAAAATTTTATCGTTATCCCAGAAATGGCGTATACAAAGTCGAGAGTACATTTAGTTGTAAAATTAAAATATGTTAATGACCTACTCAAAAGACTTTCAAGAAGAGCATATCGTAAGAAAAGGTATAAAATGAAATATTTTTTAGTAATTTGCTACGCTCTTATTCTTTGGGCAGCAGTAAAAACAAGTTACGTGTGAATTTAATTAAAACCCCTATCTCATTTGCTTTAGAAGCCGGTTTCTGCGACAGACACCTCTTTTGTATAAAAACATTTTGGCACGAAACTCTAAAAATTAATTGTCGTAATATTAGTTACAACATTCAGTATTACACTTTAGGAACAAGAACAAACATTCAACTAATATTAAGTGAATACAAAAATAAATAATGTGATAGTTAATGAAAATTATGGATGAATGATTGAAATTGTGAATAGAATAGAATAGAAAATCATTTATTCAAATAAACTTACATTGAAGCACTTTTGAGTAGTCATAACATTTTTTTTTTAATCTATCGCTCATTCGGAATGCTGTCTCATCACAAGAAGAACAAGCAAGAAACTTGTGTGTTGCTCTAATAAATAATTTAGTCTTACTTACAATTTAAGTTTAAGTGTGTGAATACAAACCACCGATTAGCACTAATTCAATGAAATAATAAAATAGAAAAAACATTCAATATATAACAACTGGTTAAACAATTAATAAGAGAAAATAAGTCATAGTGATTAGAGCAGACCAGTCCACACAAGCAGCACCCGTTCACGAGTATGACGGATGAGCCAGCCACCATTGCGCTCGACCATATTTTAGGGAGCCCAATGACCCGGCCCACCACGCCGCCACAAGTCTGGACATTTTAGTGAGCATGACTACTCAAAACACCAGACCACGTCATAGCTACTCACTATTGCCATCTGATGGTTATAGTATTCACATTTCACATAAGAATGCATGCGGCAATCAATACAAAAACCGCTACGCTTTCATATTTCTAAAATAATTGAATCAAGAAAGCAATGAGATAAACAAATTATAACGTTGTATGCTAATAAACTAATTATTTACTTGATATTTTGTCGTCTATGAACTCGTCTATCCTGTAATAGGCTTTCTTAATAATAATAACCCGTTTAACATTAGTTACAGCGCCATCAATAGGTACCGAAGTTAAGCAGTGCTAGTGTTATGGGTCCTAGATAACAGATATAAATACGTAACTATATACTGTATTCATAATAATAATACATAGGAAACACCCAAATCAATACAAAGAATCATACTCATGATTACAAATGTTTACTGGTCGAGGAAACGAAACCGCGACCATCGGAATTAAGTCGGGGTGCTCAACTGCTAGACCACCGCAGGCCGAATGGAATTCGTTAACGTTTCCGGCAAGAACTGCTGGATCGATCCGAATGATATTTGGTACATAATTAGATCGTCTCCTAAAATTATGGCTAGGATCTTTTGTACCTGAATCCATGCAAGTAAGGCTACGGGTTACAGACTAAATAGTGAAGGCGACATCAGGTGTGCCGTCAGATTGTTTGTCATTCCTAATACATTAAAAAATATAACTAGTAGTATATAAAGTGCCATTTAAACTTTGACTGTCGAATTAGGTAATAGCATAAAATAGAAGTCATTGGAACTAAAATTATCTATGTTTTAATTACATAGTTTATTTTAGTTCTAAGGACTTCATTCAATGTAAACAATAGTTTATCTCTTGGTATGTTTTAATATTTTTGTAATGTCATAAATAAATATAATATAAAAGATATCATACAATACCCAGCGCTTGTTATTGCATTCCGAGCGTTCTGAACAACAACTTACACTCACTTAAACATAACACTTGGGACGCAGAGGCATCCTCCATGAAATAAAAGAGGGTCTATAAATAATAACGAAACACGCTAGAGACCTGGCCGTTTTTATAGAATAATAACATGTATGCGTTTCACATATGTCATAATTATATAAAATCGCTTATACAAATTCACCGAAGAACTGGCTATATGATCCAGGGCCATTAACCTGCCTGAAAATTAAAAAAACTGAATGAAATAAAGAAAAAATATTCTTATAAACATTACAATAACTTTTTTCAAATTGAAACAGTAATAAAAAATAAGAACTACCTATAAACAAAGGGTTGGCATATAAAACCGGAGTGTTTTACATTCAATTAAAACACTCGTATAATATTGTACAGAGCTAACGTGAGGCGACCGAGGGTTGCGGTAAAATATTGTTATTTTTCTCGCTTAAGGCATTAAATAATACATGGTACGGAGCCGAGTAATGCCTATTATAAAAAAACTTTATTAAGTTATAAAAGTAGCATAACTTTGCCTGATTGTTATTGCCGGCTATGATCGTTGTTTAGTTACAAATATAAAAAAACTACAACTATAAATATTCTGACGACTGCAATTTTATACGCGGCATTATAAAATATTGTTATTATAATTAATGTAATACTTGATACGTCAATATTTTGCTAAGAATTGTCTTCTCGCTGATTATTTTGTATTAGTTTGTAATTATTAACTTAACTGCATGGCTTAGGACTAGATGATGCTGTCGGTAATTGTCGCGAGAAATTATTCTTACATTACTGAAATTAAATTAAAATAATATAAAGTATATCTAATGCAAATAATTTCATTTAAATAGGAATATTTTATTTACACTTTGATAGTAGGTATACTATGAAATTCAATCGAGCTTGTAAAATACAGACTTATGCGGTTTATTGCCAAGTAAGGTTACGAAAATTTGATTACGGTCGTTTCCAATACTGTGTACAATTTTGCGCTACGGAGCTTGGAAGTCGAGTTTATTGTTATTGTACCGAAGAACGGCATCGTTTCAAATACTAGCTTCTGTGCGGTAAGGCACAAGCAAGAAAATCAAATAGTAGAAACTTAGCAAGTTGCTCCTAAGAATATAATATGCTAAAAGATACTTACCTCAATCACAGAACAGTACTCTATAAACGATAGATAAAGTACTGTTCTGTGATAGCTACGAATATTATAAAGCAGAAAGATTTAATTTTTTACTGGTTTGAATGGAACGCGGAGAACGCCGAGGGGCATATCTAGTAATAAGATATACCTACATATTTAATATAGGTAGGTACAATATTTATTAACCAGAAAAAGTTACTTCGAATACCATTCCACATAAAAATCTTTTTAGGAATTTAATTTTGTAGGTTTTAGAGTAGATTCAGCGTTACATGAAATTATCTTTACGTTATCATTTATTTAATTATAGTAACAATAATATTGAACTATATAATCATCTTCAGTCAGAGAATCATAAGACACGTGTTATGACTATATCTTATGTATGTAAAATCAAGGCAAAAGGACCGCAAATGCGGGCACTATTCGGAACATTCTAAACTACATCGTAATAGGGTCTCCACATTAATCAACACTCCGCTTTAGATGTTGTGACAGTAACTACTCACAACATCTAAAGCGAGAATGACGATGTCCTCAAACATCGTCATTCTCTTGCCTACTTAAAACGTAAATACTTAGCTGGTACATACATCAGATCTATGTCCACGCAGGTTGTAGTTGGTGCGTAGCGGCAGTTCATGAGGGCGACGTGCATGCGAAGACGTGAACGTAACGCCAACCACACCGCGCACATTACCAGTTGCCAGCCATCCTTCCTGGTAATAGTTGTTGCGATTCAGCTTCCAACCCTCCTCCTATAGAAATAAATAGCATTTTGAATCGCATTGCTTATGTATTTGTGTAGACCTTGACATTTGTGCTCAAAGACTTTACTGTTTTGTAAATTAGGCGTTTTATACACGATTGTGTTTTGTTTAACAAGGAGGACGAGAAGGCGGAACATTGTAGAGATATACAACATTCATTGTAGAGAATGTTAGGAATAGCAATCTGGGATCAATTAATCAAAAAAAGATTAAGTTGGCGAAAACAATATCCAAATATATTATGAATCGATTTATCAAACTTCGATCAGAATTATTCAAAAACAATTCTTTCCTCAAAGAATAGTACAGTACCGGTATTAGTATTAATATTTAGGTAGCTAGTAGTACCATAGTATTTTGTACAAAATGTATACAAATAGGTTTACCATATCTTTAGTGCCTACAGTATACAAACTCTACTTAGTTTGGAAAATATTACGCTACGAGCTATGTCAGGGTTTATTATACTGGAATCGAGGTCTGAGTTTACCGATTATAAATGTATTTACAGTAAAATATGTATAGCTTGACATTATTATTAAAAATATAACAAATCTGAATTAAATACGCTTATGATAGTTTCTATGAAATTAGCTAAATGTTAGCTGCTAATTATTAGTTGTATATAAATTTTATATTTCTCAGATGTTAATGAAAGTTACAAGTTGTAGGTATATACTTAAATTCGTTCTTCTTTTCAAACTGGATAGACATAATTACATATTATTGTACATATATTTTTTTATTTAATACTAACCCGCCTCGACTTCGCACGAGTGTACCCACATGTATTATACATATAAAACGTAATAATGTATAGAAATTTTGCACGCCTGTATGCAAGCTGTATGTATTCAACATTGTACATAACATTCAATAATGTAAGACCTACTTGTAACTCTGCAAACAAATAAATAAAAAAATCTCTTAAATCATTCTATCTATTGCTAAAAACTGCATTAAAATCCATTGCCTAGTTTAAAAGCTCTCAGCTAAGCTAACAGACAGCCGACGCCACTTTGAAAGCTCGTATTATGATGACTATGACGAAATTTATATCGTCGATATATGTTAGCATTTGTTTTAAATCGTATAAAATATATATATATTATAAAAACATGTTATACATACAGATATCACTACATTTCTCAACGTTGTAGGTATAATAGTAAATAAATACTACGCAATGCTACGCGTGTAGAGCAATACTACAATAACAACTAAACTATACCCGCCCGTGTACATTAAATAAACAATTTACTTACACGGAAACTTTACTCCCAAGTGTAATTCAAACAATTTATAGGTACAAGGGGAAATGTGCAATCAACAAACTTAATAAAACAAGTCTAACTGACTAGAAATGACGCCGGTCCGGAGATCGAAATCGAAATTGCCAATTAGTCAGATCAGTATTTCCATTATTCGTTTATCGACGCCCATTTATTAATAGTGATGACTTGTCACTAAACATCCAGGATTAAATGTCGAATCCGATCAACAGGTTGTAAGGAAAAAGTCTTCGATTACGCGAACAGTTGGCCCTTATCTGACAATATATAATAGTTGTTATATCTACTTTCTTCCTCTCGTACATACCTATACAAGGGAAAAGCATTGTCGATAGTCCTTATCTGATCTGGAGTGCAGTAATTTTAACGTTGCTATGTAAGTGTGTATCTATCTTTGTTGCATCGCAGCTCTTCAACAGATGGACCGATTTTGAGAAGTTTTCTTTTTAAGTTTTCTAGTATGCATAATATGCATACTATCTTACTAATATTATAAACGCGAAAGTTTATGAGCATGGATGGATGTTTGTTACTCTATCCCGCAAAAAACTACTGAACGGATTATGATAAAACTGTACAGTAATATAGCTTATAAATCAGAATAACAAATAGACTACGATCTAAAAAGTTACTATTTTGGTTGGGCGGAATATAATGATAAATGTCAAGTAAGTGGGATACAGAAGAAGTTGCGCGGGTCAGCTAGTATAATATAATATATTTACATATACATTTGTACACAGATGTTCTTACATTCGTAAAAATATAATGCGCGATAATGTAAGTGGGTAAATGGCCGAAATTTGGAGTAAGGCGATCGAAGCGTTATTTTCTCCAACTTTATTAGGAGCCTTGGCTATTCTCTACTACAATTACATTAAAGTGGGACGGACAGTACAGATGGACGAAATACAATTACAGCGTGGGTGGTTACGATCACAGAACGGTATGTACGGTCGTAGTATGAGAAGGAATTTAATTAAATTATAAGATTACATTCTAAATATAGCTCATGTATTTCAATCACTCAATCAATTTTGTTGATTGAGTGATTGGATAACAGACAGTATAAAGGGCTAACCTTTCTGCTTACGTCAAGTTAGACATTCTAAATATTACTCTTCTGAGTGACCTCTTTTCATCTACATATAATAGCCATTTCAGCCGCCAAGCAGTCTCTGTTGATTGAAAATAAGATAAGGCAGTGAAATTACAGGATAAGAACAGGTGACAGGTGAGAGGACATCTTGGTCCACCGGAATGGTAACATATAAGTGGGCGTCGCATGATAACATGATGTCCATAGTGCTGTTCATGTATATAAGCGATAGTTTCCACATACCATTAGTTGGGCCGTCACCATGTTTGCCATTCTAATTACAATACAAAATCTCTAACGGTATATACAGTGTGTGCCAAATCCAAGCCTAAAAGCCATGTAACTGTTTTTTTCCCTATTTGACACTATACCTATAGAGTATATCACATAGTTATAATATCTATGTGTTATTCTGATATATAAACTATATTAGTGTAAAGTTTTATTAAAAAGAACTAATATAGTAGGTATTACTCAAAAGAACAACAAAGATCCCTTTGTCCATCCAAACATACTTTCCCCTTTAATAAATAATTAATAAGATTAGTAGGATTAGTTTGGTATTTCAGTAGTATACAAAAGAACAAAATCACGCTTGCATGCAACCCGGCTGCGACCCGAAATGTTGAGAGTTTAAATACCGGCCAGGTAGTAAAAAAGTTGCGTTGTATGTCAATTTACATTTTTGACTACGTTGGATTCTGTATAACCCACGAAGTATGGACTTGTTGTACCCTCCTCCGCTTGATCCCCCGTCCAATTCAAACGGGAATCGATATTACAATGGCCTGAGCCGAAGTTTGAACCCCTAGTGGTGCCCTCAAACTAAAGTCGTATCCGTCAGGCGGGAGTTGGCCTTCCGGTGAAGCTGTAAAGGCCAGCTGCGGCCAACAGCATTAGAGTAGTCCGAAAAAAAAACGTGTTGTACACACTATAATGCCGGCAATCTCCAACGTCTGACCTGACTCTACTCATATAACTCATCGACGTCTCTACATGGAAGATATACGAAAAAAACTATTATTAAAGAACTTTATTTTTTACTTTATGCTAATACTAATGTTAACGGACGAACATTAATCCGTTTATAAGCAAAAAAAGTATAAAAGAATAAATTCGCGGGCAACGCGGGCAACTTCAACTAGTAAGAGTATATAATAAATATGATCTAAAGATAACAAATGAGACCATATTTTGAAACATGACTCGGTTAGACCTCTTTGTAGTAATATATGAAAGCTCAGCGAAAATTAGGTGCTTCAATTTCTATTGAAGCTGAGACTCGTCATTACCAAAAATAATAATAGAACAAAAGCATTTTACATTCTTTTGTTAACTGTTCGTTTCATAAAATACAAAGATTATGTAGTACAAATACAGTGTAAATACGAATACGAATTTTCCTTTTAGTATTTTTTATAATAGCTCTATATATATATATATATATATATATATATATATATATATAAATATCCCCTTGGGCACTTTGTGGCTCAGACGTGCCGTATAGGTAGTTTTTTGTTGATCCTTTTTCACTTGTTGATCCGGAGGCCTTTTGTTGATCTAATGCCAGCTGACGATATATAAATGTTGATCCTTTTTGAGCCACAACTGTCACGACGAGTAATAATAATAATTAAGCGATTTATACACGATTTTATACAAATCCACCTTTTTGGCATTCGACCACTTCTTGATCCAATTCAAACGGGCCAATCAGGGTGCAGCATTTGCCAAGGGCTTCCTCATTGGCACGTTTGGACTACTACATTATGGCTACAGTAACTTAATAATGTCTAGCTAGTATTTCAAGAATAATAGTCTATCTAATCTAAATATTTATAGAAATCAGTCTAGAGGAACGTGACTCCAGATCAAACCTCAATACTTGTTATTTTTTGGACGGGAATTTTTCCTTTAGTAACAACGTTACTGAGCGAATGAAGAGAAGACGTAACGGCGGATCCAGGGGGAGCGTCATGGAGGTCTTGGGAGTCATGGGGGCGTCATGACTCTCCCCCCTTACCCCAGGACTTAGGTAGACCACTAATTGAACTAAAAAATAATGAAACAGCAAATTTTTTTGCACGATCGGAGTGTTGGTGCAGTAGTATTAATTATAATTAAACATTGTTACTTAAAATATAACAGTTAAAGTACTATAACACTAAAAGCAAAATAGGTATTTTCAAAATACTTTTTCAAAATAAATTACCCTTTGAGTTTTTGTCCAAACCTCAGATATTTTATTTATTTTAGGTATATCAATCATTACATAGTATAGTATAGTATAAAACAAAGTCGCTGTCGCATCTAACAAGTACATAAATAAAGAAAGAAGACTTTTTGGCTCTGAATATATTTCAAAAATCAATTACTTGTGTTAATCAATTTATATACTCTTTCTTATTTCATAGTACTTGTTTTGATCCGAGTATATACAGATACCGTAACGGTCTATTAATTATGAATTTATTATACCTAACCTAGATATTCTATTTTGATGAAACTCCGTGTAGTAGTAGTATCCGATAAGGGTATGCGAACCCTAAGTATTATTTCAAAATGACCAGTAACTTTGAATTTTGAATTTTGAT